CCTATTATGCTGCCGTTGTTGGGCGTCTACGTCTTCACCGACCGGCCGCCGCATCCGCCGCTAACTGGTGTCACCGCCTGCACGGCTGGCTTGTTATAACGCCAACTGATGCTATCTTCTTCACGGCTGGCTACATCGCTGTCACTACTAATAGGCATCAGTATCTTCAACACAAGCTGCCTACGTTTGCCATGGCTGCCGACTGGTTTCTTCACTTCCATGGCTGCATGATTCTGCCAGTGTTGATTGGCCTTACCATCTTCATCGCCTTTCGTCTCGTCTGCTGCTGACTAGTGCCCTCGCCTCTACATTTGGTTTATACAGCTACCACTACTGATGGACATCATCGTCTTCCGCCGCCGACTCGTGTTATGCCGCCGCCGACTAGTGCTTTTATCTTCACAACTGCGCGTCTTCACTACCGGTTTGCTTCTGTTGCCGACGACTCGTGTTCACTTCATCACGGCAATGCAACTTTGTCATCATGGTAGAGCGACTTCATCTTTATTATCTTCGGTACCAGCAAACTCTATTGCTGCTACTTCACAAGTTTTGCTACATCACCAACCATGATGTTGTTGTGAATCTCGACATCTCGGCATGCGATGCCGTGTTATTTTACTACAACAAGTGGCTCTCCAACATTCATGATTTCTACTTGGACATCTTCAACACATATCTTCAATCAAGCAATAACTATTCGACGACAAGAGGCTACAGTTCTCGACTCTATGTTCAGTTGTTTCCCAACTAATCAAAGAGTCGGGGGCTACACAAATACAAGGCTCAAAATTTGACAAATTTTATGTCAAGCTGAAGAAATCAATTCATCAACCCACGAGTCAACTCCAGGAGTCATTATCTTCATCTTTGCTTCGGAGCAGACATTCTACTTCAACAACTTCAAATATTTCGGTTTAGACGAGTTGGGCAACAACATCAACTCTCCTCCAAGTGAAGCATCTACAACAGTTATAACATTAATTTGATGGATTATTGTCACTGACATCATCACCAGCACCTCTGCTTCATCGACCCTGACATCTCTGCTGTTGCTAATGGATGATTATGTTTTCGCCGACTTATTATTTCACCTTCACGGTTGACCTACTATGCAAATGCTGATGAGCGTCTTTGTCATTATCATTGGTTGCTACACTGCTATTGGCTGGATCACCGACATCGTCATCTTCATCATGTCGGTTGCGTTTGTCGTCGTCAACTACACAACTTTATCGCTGAGCGCCTTCATATTCATTGCTGGCTGACCTGACTGCCGCCGACTGGTTTCTTCGCCTCCATGGCTATGCGACTTCAGTACTTTTGATTGGTATCACTATCTTCACTACCACCAATATTTTTGCCACCTCTGGTGGGCAATATTCTCTCTATATTGGTTATCTTGTCTCTATGCCAACTGCGTCAGCTACCATCAATGAACAATTGTGACTACGTGCTCAGGGGCTTACTAGCTCAAATACAAGTATTATATCTTCAATTTGGACTTGCTCCGGATACATGCAACATGAATTCATGATCATGGGTCTATTTTATATACTCAAAGACTGGACTATTTATTATTCCCCGTAAGGGTTATCAACTGAATACTTGCGCCAGTCGGGATTCGATTGTTACATCTATTTTGGAGTATCCCATAAGGGATAATCACTAAGATCAGAAGCTATTCATATGAGCTACGCTTGGTCTATATTACCCGGAAGATTTATTACTCGGGAGCATGTTACATGCGTCATCCTTTAAAGGGTGTCGAAGGCATATTTTTTGGCCTAGGCCTAATATGTCTGCAACCCATATTTTCAGGTGTGGCATGTCACGTTCTTTTTGGGACTTAGGCACTTTTTGCTTAGGCCAAAGTGCGCGTGATCAAGTGCCCAATACCTTAAAATCCTTTTATACCGCAGTTACTTAACTTTTTAGGAGTTGGTACAATGCATCTTAAAAGGTGTCAAACAGTAAAGCTTTATATAGCTGTCCCGCTGACTTTTTTATATATAAGTCAAGGTGCTGTTTGGGTTTTTAAGCAATTGATTGGATACAATATCATTGCTTTTCGCCACGTAAGTGTGCATTTTTATTGACCAATATTATGGCTTAGGCTGATTATATATTGTGGTCATTTTCTAGGCGGTTGGTAAATCCTTTATGAGTTTATTTACTCGGATTTTACACCACATATGCCATATATTTCCAGGTGTGGTGAAACCATGTGTCTTTTAGGGACTAAAGCACGTCTGTTAAAGCAGTGTGCGCATGGCGTATGCCCAATACTTTGGAAATTTATTTATTCACAACATACAAGCTTCTTTATAGCTGTTTTGCTATGTGAATTTTCAATAATGTAGCCAACTTTAGGTTACATTCATCATATTTTACAAAACAGTCGGTATATCACTTGGATCATATTATTCAGGGATTCACGCCGCATATGCTACATATTAATATTAAGTCGCTTGGTTGACTATAATTATCAAAACCACTCGGTTGGTTGGATTATTTATTCCTTGACTATATGTTTGGTTTGTTCGATTAACCACATAGTCGGGGGTTACACCTATTAGGTGCATCTAGTCGATGCACCTGACTATATTTTTCAGCCCTCCACAGTCTTCAGATTTGGTAAAAGTACTCGGGAGACCATGGCGAAGATGATTGAAGCACTCGGCTTTGGAGTAATCTAGTTCGAGAGAAGGTTATCTTTCCGACTGTGAAGGTCTCAGGGGCTACTGTGGAGATTATGGGTACCCCATACCCACACGGCATGGTTATCCGACTAGTTATAGGGGATAACTTATATCTATGTAATATGTAACAGATCATGACTTGGGTGTTACGTTTCCTTGTATATTACGGAACGGCCTAAAGTCCTGATTTAGGAAACCGATACCGTATTGGTTAAGGTTTCTATCTTGTAATCCTGCCCCCCATCCTATATAAGGTGGGCAGGAGGCCCTCTAGGGGGCATAGATGACACAACCTGATCGTCAGATCAATACATACCCGGCGGATTCAAATCCCCAAACAGGAGTAGGGTATTACCTCTCATTGAGAGGGCCTGAACCTGTCTAAATCCTTTGTCTCTGCATCCATCCACTTTTAGGTCTCGTGCGCTACCCCTTTTTATTATTGCCGAAATCATGTTTCGACAGCTAGATTTTAGAAATAGCTTAACAAATTGTTCTATTCAGGTGTCTCAGCTTCTGCCTTTGTTTCAAATGTGTTTAGCTGTTAAAGAAAATAGGTTAGGCTTCACTTCCGAGATTATGCACTTGTTTAGAAAATTTTTACGATCTGATAGTCCCAGTTTTTCTGCCTTTGTTACAAATTGGCACCATAGATAAATTTGCTTGTGTTAAAATGTATTGCCATCATAGCGTTGTAACTTATACCTTGCCTTCATGGAAAATAGTAGTTTATTTTAAATGGAAGAGAGTAATGTGCTTTGTACAAATTGATCTTCCAGATGCATAGGTTTATAAAATGCTATGATCTAGATGAATAGGTTTCCTGTCTATTGTTGTTCATTTAAAATAGAACCAAATATGCTGAAACTATTCAACAAAAAAAGTCAAACAGAAGAATTCTACTGTCACACTGCACTTTCAAAAGTTTTGGTTGATACTGGATTTTATTATATATCAGAATTAAATAGTTTACAAGAATATGAGTGAGAATTATATTATTATTGATCCGTTTCTGCTGTTTGCCACTGTACCACCTATGCATGCTTGCCTATTCTCTTAATGTACAGTCAAAGTTATATGTAGAGGCAATGGGCTCGATTGCCATTCATCCAAATTAGAAATTAAATGGTGCATGCTTTCTTTGGGGTTTGATCATATATTTCTGTATTAAGAGATGCTGCTGGCTCTATTTGGCCTTTGATCTCTCGGTTTGTTTAACATTGCAGTATTTATTTTTATTCTTTCCTTGCATCTGAACAAAGATGACTCCGAGCTAATCTCTCAGTTTGTTTAAAATGGTATGAAATGGTAAATGGACCCGGTTAGCTTTGTCGAATCAGTTTATTATAAAAACTGATATAAAAATTAGTGTCTTCTACATCTTAATGTGTTATATATATAACGGTTGTACTCAAATTCAGGGTTTTCTAATATGGGTCAATAGGGATTGAGGTTCTGTGAGATGGACCTAACTCATTTACATAAACAAAATTGCAGCCATGTAAAAGCCTAGCGCTTTCAGTTCAAATAAATAATTTATTATCATTTGCTATTAAATGCTTAATGCCTATATATTTGCTTTGCTACATATTTTTGCCTCAGTAGAAACCAGGATATTTTACCAAATATGTTGAGAGTTAAATTACTAATACTAAGTGATGAATATGTCTTTATAAGCGTGTACCTCGTGGTAGACGAACGCACTGTCTTCAATATGGTGCTTCTCCTGATATGTGTTCGATATAGACGTTCATGTGGCTTCTTGAGGTGCTCTATAAGGAGGAAGGTGACCAGTGAGGAGCAGAAGTTGCTGAATATTTCCAGGCGATGCATGTATTGAAAAAATAGCACATGTAAAACTTTCAGGTGATATTTGTATCTGTATGTGGTATAAAAAGTTAGATACTATGAGCTATTGTTTGTGTTTTGAAATGTTTCACTCAGAGTGATGAAAATATTGCAGAACTCCATTCATGGCCAACTTTGGAAAGTTATTGACAGTATAATAACATTCATGAGAACAATACAAATCTCTCTATCGTTATTTTATTCGTGATCTTAAATATTACCTTTTGGTTTTTGCATTATCAATTATCACCATTGCGTTAGCACGGGTATATTACATGTATAAAAAGGAGTTCACCCTCTAGCAATCTTACATGTCAAATCTATATACTAATATAAAAAGGAGAAGTTCACCTCTAGTAATCCTACATGCCAAATCATCAGGTTAAATCCCTACCGTCCATTCGCACCTCAGGTGTAGTCCGTACCATCCACCCTCTCCGACGACGATTTCACCCTCTCCACGCACGGTCTCTGCGCAAAGAATACGCCTCGTCACCCTCTTAACACGCGACTCGCTCCTCCTCCTCACTCCTCCTCGCGTCGTCGTCCCATTCCGTCGCCGCCGCCGCCGCCGCCGCCGTGCACTCCACCGCCTCCGCCGCGCACTGAACCGAGGCGAGGTCTTCCCCAACCACCGCCGGAGCCGTGGTCTTCCCCATCTGCCGCGACTGGCCGCAGCAGGAGCCGACGTCGTCCCCATCCGCCGCCGCCGCCGCCGCAATCCACCGCTACCCTCGAGGTCGTCGCTTTCTTTCACCGCCACGCACTGAACCGGAGGCGAGGTCTTCCCCAGACCCCCACGGAGCCGAGGTATTCCCCATCTGCCGCCGCCGCCGTGCACTCCACCGCGATTTCTCCGCCCATCCGCTGCTCCATCGCGATTTCTCCGCCGCTGCAACCTCTGCCCCGCCGATCGCACCCCATCGCGTCGCCGGTTTCTCACGCCTGTTGCCGAGTCCAAGTTGATCCGATTGGTTCCTCCGTCGAGGTCGCCCCTGCCAGAGAGGCCAAGCCGATCCAGCATCTGCTCCACCTACTGGCCCCTCCCCGTTCTCTGCTCCTGACACCGTCGGAAATCAACCACAGGCCACCAGCAACTGCACCTGCACCCTGTTGCTCGCATGATTGTGATGACACATAATCTCGATCTGCAACTCACTGTCTCCATTTTCTCAAGCCGGAACATTGGGGATATTATGGCAGGAGCAGCGTGGAGTCAAAGCCCTACTCCGTAGAGGGCTCGAGGCTGCGCGGATCGCTTCCTCTCTTTGAACACAGCTGGGGTGTGCGACATGGCTGTGGTGGAGGATCTGCCCCCACCCAGGTGAACCCTCACTTTAGACTGTAGATTGCAACAGCTATATGTAAATTACAATAACGATTTCTCTATTAATGAACCTGCAGTTTAATCTGAAAATTTAGGCAAAATGTAACCGTTGCAGTCCTTTGTTTTCTTTCTCAAACACACCATTCCAGTCTTTTGGAATGACCCTTAGGGCCTGTTTGGCACAGCTACAGCTCCAGAGCTCAGCCAAACAGTTTCAGCTCCACCAAAACTGGGAGTGGAGATGGGTGGAGCTCTCTCACAAAATAAACTAGAGTTGTGGAGCGTTGTTTAGGAAGCTCCACAACTCCACGCCAGACCCAACTCTTGAAGCTAAATTTAGGAGTTGGAGCTGTACGAAACAGGCCCTAAAGCTGACCAATCACTTGTGAAGGAATCCTCTACTTTGCAGAAGCAGAAGCGTTACTTGGCATATATACTTTGCAGAAGCAGAAACACAACTTGGCGGTGGCTGGTTTATTTAGCAATCTCTACTTGGCTTTGATGGCCAGTGTGGTAATTAATTTCAGAAATCTCCGATTCTTGTTGACAAAATTTCTTTTGCAGGTTGAACATGGTGATTTCAGACATTTATCAATGATGGATTATCTGCTTGCCTATTCTTTCTGTTACATCAGTTGTGGGATGTTTTTCTGTTAAATTAATCTAGGTTGCTCTCTTGATCTGGTCTAGACAGATCCTAAGCAAAGGTTGCAATAAGGAAAACAAAAGGAAAAGGTGAGAGAGGGGCTTAGTATACCTGTTGACTGTAGCTGTGTCAATTTTAGTTCAAATGTTTATTGGTTTTGTCATGTATACTGCACTGTGGTTCATGAAGAACACGAAGAATTTGTATTTGGTCTACTTAATTGATCTAAATTATGTAGAACTTCATGATTTCCTTCAGTGCAAAATATTTATTAAAAACTGCCAAATGTAGTTTTTTTTCTTTTTTTTTTATCCCTATAAAGAACTGCTAGAACCTTTTTTACCACGTGCAAAATAACATTTGCAATTTTTTTAACAAAGAAGCAGTCTTACATCATGTGTGAGGCCAGGTATCAACATTTTCTTCAGTGCAACAGTCTTTTCTATTCTAATCTGCTACTAGAAGATCATGTGCCTCACATTTTACAGGATCATTGATGATATGAATGCTTAAGGATGCTATTTTGAATTGTTGGTTTTCTCAGCAAACAAAAGTTTCCATGGTTTTATCTGATTTATTTTTATTACCTCACACTTAGGATATATAGCACATTGCATTATGTTATCTGATTTGGACATTCTTGAACTGTAGCCCTTTAAAATTAACACTTATATTTTAGTTAAAGAATCAAGTTTTATGACTTGGTTTAAGTTATACATATCTTTCTTCAAAGTTTAAAAATAAAAATTGTAAAATCGTATATGCCTGCCACCTTATCTTGCATAAGTTGAGGCTGTTTACCGTCCTTAGGAAAAAATTGTCCTTCAGGTATTGGAAGTATAACATTTGTATTTGATTTTACAATGAGGGCATGAAACTCGCTTTCTGCTGGACTCAAACTGAACCATTTTGGTTGATACCCTAACATTTTGCTCTACCATATAACTTATTTCACTATTACAACTTTATTTAGACTGAAAAAAATTTCTGGAGTTTGGTGCATAGCTGCCTGAAGCCTGAAGGCTTACAATTTGTTTAGTTGTGCTTACTATTTGAATTTATTATGTTCAAAGTAGTTTCAAAATACTAATGATTCTTAGTTATTTTTTGGGAAAAATCGGTTATGCTCATTCAAGAATGTATGTCTAACAACACATGTGATACTCTTTTCCAAAAATTATACAAATACTTATTCAGTTTGAGAGTATTTCAATGTTCCTGGTTTAGTTTTCAGTTTTTTCTCCAAGTAGTGATATTCTTTGGTTAATTTTGTTTTTTTTAATGCAGCTCAAAATATCCATGTCAACTTGAAGATATTGTGGATTGCAGATTGTGAGGGTTACATTTGAAGTTATTGTGGATGACACGAATCAATTGTGTAGATACTTGTGTTATTTTCTCTTACTTAGTGGAGTTCTCTTGAATGCATCTGAAGACAACTCTTTTGCTTTGAGCCTTTCAAGTGTTTGTTAAGTTGTGGAAAATTGTATCCATTTTGTAATGTTGGCTACTTTGCACCTCCACAACAAGTGTCCAAGAGGGGGTAACCAAAATAGGCTAGATCATGTTAGAACATATTGTTCTTAAACTTGTGTATTTGTATGTTTCATGCGACATTTATTGGGGAAAACACAATAAACTATCAGGGTATTCACATGTTTCTTGCTATTTACCATATATGGAAAACGTGCAAAGTGCACGATTACTAGTTTTGGAAAGTGTAAGACTGCAGCAGAATGTGATGTAAGAAGACTTTGGTAGTGCATCACCAAAAAACAACAGCTACTGCAACTAACCCTTTCGTTTTGGCTACCCTGGAAGTAAACAGGATAGGTTTCACCAGAGTAATTTGGGTATCAGGTGCAAGGCAGGACAACAAACTGCTAATCTTCCATGAATGTATGCATTTGAACTAAAACAATGTCTGATGTAGGACTGATGTAGGACTGCAACTTAAACAAAGCAGAACAGTCTGCACCTGTGGCGAAAAGAAGACCAAAGATCGTTCCATCAAATGCAGCATAACTGAATAAACCTTTGCTCCCCTCATTCTGACAGTGAGGTGAGCACTGGCAACTGAAAATAAAGCATCTGAGCAGACCAAAACAGATACTAATGTACTAGTATACATAACAGTAGTGATCAGGCGGCATATGTCTGCACATTCCATGATCTGGTATACTATTAAGCTTGGCAGTGAATGCATATACATGGCATTTTCACCTCCATATTCACAAAGATAGTGACTAGTAGGCTGAAAAATGGACACTGGCTAATTCACTTAATCAGTTGCTGTAACAGATGCAGCTTATACTTCACATAATCATTTCCCACCATAGTAACCACTTATTTAACTGTTACTAGAACAACGCCACTAATATGACAATACACAAGGACAAGACCCTTCTTGTGTCTGTTGTTTTACAGAAACAGGAATTCGTTGACAAAATTAGAAATAACAATGTTTAAGTAGTTCAGTTATTAGATACATGACAAGTTATCAACTTCCAATGATATGAAAGGAGGTGTGCTGCTAGCATCAACAACGATCACTTGGGTATCTTTGTATTAAGACTTAAGAGAAATAGCGGATGATAACCATCACTTGTCCCAACCATTTTCCAGCATAGTAACTACAGATTTAACTGTTAGTGAAATGATGCCCACTAATACGATACTAATATACAAGGACAAGAAGACCATTCTAGTGTTTGTTATTTGACAGAATCAGAAATGTGTAGATAAAGTTTGAGTAGTTCAGTTGTCAGATACAAGAAAAGTTATCAACTTCAAATGATATGAAGGGGGTGTACTACCTGCTTGCATCAACTACTATTGCATTCTGCAGTGAGACCTACCAAACCTATGTAAACCAACCACCAATCAGGAACCAGGAACATCAGATTAAATAAAGACTTTATGGTCGAAAAGAAGCACCGTGCAATGACTAGCAAGATCAAGACATCACACTATCGGAACTTTATAAATGACTATCGGAACTTTTTGTGCTATGCCTTAGATACAATAGTTTCAGTTACACAATGATGTCTGTATCCCAGTCTGGCATCATAAAAATCCACTTGTAAAAGTACATATATGTAGTCACAATACCATTGCTGACACGGATCAGATGAAAGATGAACTGAGGCGTCAAATTAATATGCACAATTATTATAAAAGTGCAGCATTATTCCTGACAATGTTGTGTTACTTGAAAGCCAACAGACTCAGGCAGAAGGAGAAGGAATCATTATAGACTCACAGGAGGCTATATCAGGCAATACTGTTCAGAAACTTGGATTGAACGTTGATATAACTGGGACAGTATGCAGGGGCACTGATCGAAGGCATGTAATATACTCAATTACTCATTGAAAAATATTAAAGTAGGATGAAGTAGGATGTGCAGTTAAACCTGCAAGTTGCAATGAAGCTGAAGAATCCCCACCTTCAAAGAGTTTGTTATCAAAATCCATTGTGTTTGCCAAACTTATCTAGTATGACCTTTCTTGCAGTTAAAACACATGGACCAAAGAAAAGATAACTGGATCAAGGATTTGATCCAGAGAAATTTATAGACATTCTTGAAGTTAATCGCATGGAAAATGGTGACTAAATGTTTTTGGACTGGTATAATCAACAGAGAGCACAGAAGGATTTGTTAAGACTATATATTTTCATTTTAATTCACTCTTATATTTTGTTAAGAGTATATGTTTGTTAACAGTTAAAAATTGCATACTTTTACATGCAGCAATATGGGTTTTTCACAAAAATTGCACATTTACCCAATGATGATTGAAGAAATAAGTTTTTCACATTGCCTGAGATGATCCAATGCTATATGCGCTTATGCAGCATGATAAAAGAATCAAAATCATAGAGACACTAAAATCGCATCCTTCAAATCATGCATGTCAATTACAGAGCTTTGCAGAAACAGCAGGAATAACAAAATCAAGATTTACTAAAACACTACTCCCTCCATCCCAAAATACAGCAGGATTAACCAAATTAAGATTTATTAAAAGACTAATCCCTCCATCCCAAAATATAATAGACGGAGGGAGTAACTAATAAGCAGGAGTACTCTACTAGTTAGAGTACATAAGTGGGGATGTAGTGTTCACCAAAGCTATAACGGCACGACCTGTGCTTGATGATGTGAAGCTTGTCGCCGTTGCAGCGCACCACCTCCACACCGGTGAGCATGGTGCAAAACCTTCTATCCCTGTCAAAGTCGCACCAAGATTCGCTGCAGGTCTCGCGGCGCGCGACCATGAACAGCTTAGCGATGCACAATTTGCCGTCGCCGAGGTGCACGACGTATGAGGCGTATGGCGTCTCTAGCACTGCAAAGCCCTTGCACCCGCGGTGCGCCACCACTGGCTGCTGCTGGACGGTGGAGGACAGGTCCCAGGCACCAAAGACGTCATCGTTGGCGGCGGAGAGACCGAACCAGAGGCCGTGCTCGGGGACGTACTCGGCGCGGCCGCAGAAGGGCAGCGCCCAGTCGCCAGCTTTGCTCCACGCGGTGTTGGCCGTGGCGAAGGAGTAGGTGCCATAGCTCTGGGTGGAGACCAAGATGTGGGCGTCGCCGACCACCGCGTACCCACGGATCTCTCCGCTGCTGCCTCTGTAGCCGGCGGCGTGCACGCACGGAGGCGGCGGCAGGGGCCGCCAGTAGCACTCGTCCTCCAGCCTGCCCCCATTGAGGGGGCGTCGGTCACGGTGGATGAGCGCCTCGAAAGAATGCCCCGACCGTCGACCCTGACGGTCGTCACCCTTGTCAGGCCAAGGTGTCATATCCATGAGGTAGAGATCGTCGCCGATGGCGAGCGCCTTGGTGTTGAATTTGGGCGCTAGCATGGAGGGCAAGACGCGGACGGAGTGCTCGGCGGGGTCGTAGAGGATGGCGCGGCGAGTAGTCCGGTCGACGCCGACGATCTTGTCGTCGCTCCTGCGCATGAACTCCGTCGACCCGCAGAAGGTGATCTCCGTCGGAGGCAGGGGGAGGTCCTCCACCACCGTCGCCGCCGACGACGACTGGGGCACGGGCAGCGCATCCTTGGGGAAGAAGAGATGTGATGGGTTGATGCGGCGTAGCCTGTAGGGTTGAGGGCCGTAGCCGGCTTTGTCGAAGATGTCGACCATGTAGAGGAAGCGACGGATCATCGTCGTCCCTAATTTGCTAATGCGGCGGCGGCGGCGGCGGGGGAAGCAAAAGACCGGCGATGGGATCTCAATCTGCGGTGCGGACGGGTGGCTGCCTAGGTTTTTGAGGAATTTTTTTCGTTTTTAGATTTTTTTTTAATATTTACAGAAATAATCTATCGACAAAAAAAATTGCAGAAATAGCCCCTGCTGCCATAATGGTGGGCGGCAAGCTGACGTGGCAGACGGTGGGTCGACCGCGCCGTCTGCCGCCGTCGGCCAAAATTGCGATTAGGCCCTTGCCGCCCATACAGGGGCTAATTGCAATTTTGGCCGCCCATAAAGAGCTTGCGGCCGTACTTTGGGGCGGCAAGGGACCCAGATGAAAAAAGTACGGCCAAAAGATTTTTCTATGTTATGTTAATAATAAATAAAGAAGTATTTATTGGTAAAACTTGTTAATATTGTTATAAAAATGTATTGAAGTTGGTTGTTGCGCAATTTCATATGTTAAGTGAGGTATTATTTTGTACCTTATTCGACGTATTAGTACTCGGATAATTTATATAGGCCTATCGCAGTCTGGGTCATAGAAACATTATATGGACTTAAACAAGGAGAATTATGTAACATGAAGAAATAGTAGTACAATTTGAACATGATACGACTATTTGCATTGCGGTTACATAGATGATATTAGATTCGAACTAGGAGGGAGGTAGTGCAATAGTTGAACACAACGACGATGTAGTAATGGGACAAGGAAGCATGACAGTAGAAATTTCAATATGCCAAGTTGTCCGATAATAGCTAACCCCTACGTGAGGATCCCTCTCCTCTCTCAAACCGCGCTTTAGTAACCCTGTATTGCTCTGGTAGTTCAAGCTGCACAACACGGCTAGGTGGAGTTAGAACCCTTCTGGTGTCTATCCATTCTCTGTATTGACATCTCCTTGGTGGTTCCTGGGAGGAAAGAATAGATGTAAAGCAAGCAAAGTTAGTAAATGTTGTGAGAAAATAAGGATTCATGTAATTAAAATATTCTTACCATGAAATCGTCGTCAAGAATATTTGGACAAACAAAGAACCTTCGACCCAATGTTGTAGGATTTATGGAACGAAGAACCTGACAACGATCACCACACCTGCATCTTGGACGGGCTTCCCATGGAGGGAGTGCCGTAGTTAGCACCCGCCAGTCGCTCTGTTGTTCACAACATTGTCGTTCATAAGCCGCTTTTCTCTATAAGTATTTCTCATTACTTTCCGATGCGAAATACCAGCGACCTTCTTGTAAACAAGTGGTTAGGTCAAGAACGGGATTTTCTGTATCGACCCACTCGATGTATGCGCAAGCCGTAGTGCGGGTCTGCCGAATAGAGTAGTGTTACGAAGAATAAAGCGATTGCCCATACGGAATGAATAAGCATATGCAGATAATAAAATACCTCACGGTCATAGTTAGGGCACCTAAAAAAGCATACAGTACTGGAAAGTGAAGCAAGTAAACAAAGAGAAGACTACTCTACTGGCCCTGCCCCGCGCCGCGACCACGCTTGGTCCTCCGGGCCTGTGCTCGCACGTGGTCCTGGGAGTAGGTGAAACGATCCGGTGGCACAGCACGGGTAGCACGAGTGTCCCGCGGAGGAGTGGCCTGTGCCTGGTCCTGCGTCTGCACCTGCGGTGCGCCTCCCAGCTGTGAGGGGCCAATGACGTCCTCTGTCGAGCCTGAAGCGAAGTCGAAGTCAGTGATGTCGAAGAGCACGGTGGAAGGCAGCAAGCGGTCCGACGAGGTCCAAGCATGGTCCAGTGGTGGACCCTGACTCGACGTGCCGGCTGCCTGTGACGCTCACCCTGCAGCCTGGGAGAAGTGGGCGGCCTGCGTCATAGCGAACTGGGTGAAACCTACACATCGACAACGGGACCCTTGTAAGCTAAGACATAAAATGTATGTAAATTGATTGTGGAAGTAATGTTGTTTTTTTAAGTACCTGTGGGGGGCACAACAGAAGACCTAGCCGAGGAAGGCGGGGTGCTGAACGGTGCACGAAACCCTGAAGCAATCGGCAAGTGAAACGGCTCACTTATATGTGCGAGGCATGTACAGAAATAGTAATAAAAATACTTACCTCCGTGCGGAGGGGGAGTCGGCCTAGGAACGTGCGCAGCTGGACGGGGACCAGTCGGTACGGGTGGCCGCTGTACAGCTGCGTCTGCCCGAGCAACGTCGTCTGCACGACAGGTGAGCACTCGGAGAATCGAGCGCATCGACTCCACCATCCGCGTGTACGTCGTCAGGTGCTCCTCTACGGGTACTGGAATCCCCGCGCCTAAACGTTGGATCGTCGTTGAACCGTCAACGACGACCCGGTTGATGTCGTCAACCTGCATGGTTAATTTGTTCGTAAATATTCGTAAAATTTGACGAAGAGAAAGACATGAAAACATAAAGGAATGGTGCGATGCAGGGTACTCACAGCACGAGCGAAGTCCTGGTCGCGGTGCCTGGCATAGAGGTCTCTAGTGCTCGCAACGTGGGGCTGCTGCTCCAAGGGAGCGAAGGTGACCCTAGTACGGGTGTGTGGCTGGTACCAGCGTAGGTAGGCCTGGTACGACTCCTCAGTGTGTGGCTCTCCCTCGTGGTCCACGACCTCCTCGGTTGCGAGTAACTAGTCCTCAACAAAAGTCGCCAACTTGGCGGGCCAGTCGCCAGCTGACTGCTGACCCTTGCGCGAGTACCTACGAATTAATGTGTAATATTAGTGTGAAACGACAGATGTTACAAATTATTGCAACAATGGAAAGCGTAGTGCAAGATCTTACCGGTGAACAGCAGCTGGGACGGTGGTCGGAAACGGTACTGGAAAGGGCTGACGGAAGCCGAACTGCCGCATCACGCGGAAAGGGGCGTGAGGCTCAACGCAGATGTCGAAGACCATCGGAACCGTAGTCATCCAGTACGCCTGGTCCCTGGTGCAGAGTGTGGACAGACCCAATGGCGCACGAGCCTGGGTAGCCGCGGCACTGTAGGGCTCCCACACGACGTCAGTCGGCAGAAGGCGGTCGAACTCCATAACAAACTCAGGATACGACCGCCTAATCTGGACGTGAGCCCATCGGCGCTGCAATACGAGATGATCGATGTGATGTACAATGAACTTAGCAATTAACTTAACAATACGATAAGATCGATGCAACGTACCTGACGACGGCACCACAGAGTACCCATCGTAGGGTAGTCGACCTCTGGTCGCTCCTCGTACAGTGACTCCTCGTACGCGTGCTGGTCCACCTCAGGGCGGCCGATCGCAATCCTCTCAGCTGCCTAGATAGAAAGAAAGAGAGGGCACCCACCAAAGGTCGCGCTGGGATCCGTCTTCGTGCAAGACTCACAAAGTGCATGGTACAGAGCCGCCAACAACGCGGAACCCCAGCTCCACTGAGGCACCTCGCCTACCGCGGCGTCGGCGATGCTCCTGGCGTAGTGCACGAGTCCCTTGTCGACCGCGTGCCCGTGACGGCCACAGAACATCACCCAGCCAAAAAGCCAGAGCAAGTACGCCTCCAAACATCGGCTGTAGGAGTACTCGTCGGCCTCCGCCTGTAGCTGCTCAACCTGCAAGCAGTCGATAAAATGTTAGGCACCTTAACTGCGGACTAAAGATGTAATACGATTGTCATTTCGGTACAAAAACACTCACGGTGAACTGAAGCAACCACCTCTTCGTAGGTCCAGTGTTGCGGTGGTGTGCCAACAGCTTGAGCGGGAAGTGCGGTGCGCGTTGTACTAGTGCGAAACGTGCCGTCAGATCATCCTGCCAGTCCACAGCCGTGGTCACTGGCCCAACAGCGTCTCCCGCGAGCGGTAGCCCCAACAAGTACGATACGTCCTGTAGGGTAGGGGCTACCTCACTGCACGGCAAGTGAAAAGTGTGCGTCTTTGGCCTCCATCGATCGACCAAAGCTGCTAGGAGGGACCTGTCCACAGTCCATCGTCTAGCCGGGTTCGCGTCGCCGGCCGCAGCCTCCACCAGCCGACACATCGGTAGGAGGCCGGCCTCACGTAGCCTGCAATAACAAATTAATATGTCATTATAAAAAATATTACAGTGCAACTAACTTATAGTAAAACACTGTTCGTACCTCTCGACAAAGGAGTCGTGAACCGTGAGTAGCTCACCGCACGTCCGTGCCCAGAACGTCCCAAGCTGAGCCCCCTGCACCGCAGTAAGGTGAGACCGGTGTCGGTGATCTATCGCCGGGTCCAACAACTGAGGTGTATCCTGACGTGCCATCTCTGAAAAATATAGTGTTTTGTAACACCCTAAAAAAAAAATTCGACCGACAAAATCAAAACTCTAAAAATACGGATTTTCAAAAACTTTTCAAACTAATTGCATCATGCCGATCTTATTCGCCTATTTTACCTGGATTTGATCTCGAAGATTATTAATCGTGAGTAAAGAACAGTTAATCAGGAATAAACCTTAAAAACAAATTGGTAAAATAAATATAAATTAAAAATAAAGATTAGGTGTGGATAGTATTAAATAAAATATTATCGCGACCATATTTGAATCAATTAAATTTAATCGCGATGGAATAAGAATTAACCCTAATTAAAACTCAAATAAATTATATAAAAATAAAATGTGAGTAATATTAATCTAGGGTGAATTCATTAGTTAAGATAACACGAATATTGAGTAAAATGCATATATGTAAAATTAGGAATTGTGGAATCAAATTTATATGGAAATTACACTAAAATCGGGATAAATAGGAAAAGTCACTGTTCATTGCACCTAAGGTGTTCGATGTGGTCCCTAGCCTTCCCCCTCCTCTCCCACCTCTGCCCCTAGCCGCCCCGTGCCGCCGCGCCATCGCCGCTGCCGCGCCGCGTCGCCGTCACCACGCGCTGCGTGCCATCGCCGTCACAGTTGCGTCATCGCCTCGAGCCCCGCGCCGCCGCCTCGAGCCCCGCGCCGCTGCTGCCACGCTGTCGCCGCGCCGCGCGCCCGCCTGCCGCCGCGCGCCCGTCCCGTTGCCGCGCCATCCGTCGCATCGCCGTCACCGCGCGTCGCCGTCCCGCGCCGCGCCGCCCGCCCA